TTATACCTTCATATATTAGACATACACACACTTTTATTGGCACGACTACAACAACACAAAACCACACTTACAATTAAAGTTAGAACAAAGATGCAAAGTAGATAGTATGGTATGGTCTGTGTTGTAGCGTCATGTCCATACGGGATTTAATTTGTAAGTATACCTACATAATTTGTTTCATGTAATTTTCGTCCGATAAAAACATTTTGACGCATGCTCACATTGGCTTTCTATCAGGTTAAATACGTACAATAAATTGTGATAGATAATATGAAAAAAATATTAGAGAATATACATACTGAAAGGATTGCCTAACCAAACACAATTATTTTAATTTATTTGCGACATGCACGCGATCCGCTAACAAGCTCCTTATTACGGCATTCTAGAAGTTACATAATTTTTTCAATTCAACGTAATACGTTTCGTCCCAGCTGCGACACATTTAGTATCTACTGACATCATACTAAGCATTTTCGTATCGCAATGCAACATCAGATCTCGTCAAGTGAAAGTGAGCCAATGTCATCGACCTTAAATCGATCATGGACCAATGATCTTGATTATCATTTGTGTAATCATCATTATCTCGCAAATTCTGCAATATAATAAACATACTAGTTTTTAATGATAGTCTAATGTTGGAAGTAATTTTAAAAATATCATCTGTATTCTGGTTTCATAATGGGCGATACAATTTTAAAATGAGTGAAATATTACGTGTATAAAAGGAGTGACTTGTGGCTTACCACCATGTAGTGATATAGTCTCCATCAATACTTTGAGTGGTTGACTCCGCATAATAGTGAAACTGTTGAATCAATCACTTTTTTAATTGCTGTCGCGTATATAAGTACTCAATTTTGTGTGAAAACACGATTCCTACAAATTTTCTCGACGGACAATAACAAAGTTACCTCGAAATTGTACAAGAAACCGCTGCATTTCATAGGTATCAACTGAACTATATAGTAAACACGTATAGTATACGATATACATTTTTCAAATGACTTCAATTCCGTTTGTAAAAAAATTAATTCTGGAATAAATAAAGCCAGTGTCCCTGTCGCTCGACCCAAGCAAAATGAACCTTATTACTACGGGAAAAATGTTAATTCGAGCTGAGGTAGTATAGGTTCTTAATTCCTCAGACTTTCTAGGCTTTTTTTAAATCAATTGACGACGAACGACATGTCTATCCATAACAGTCGCAAGGCAACTTAGAGCTTTAAATCGCAATGATTTGAGAGGTACTGCCACTGCGCCCGTCACCCTTGAGACTTGAATTGACAAGTCCCATGTGCCTGTAATTTCACTAGCACCCTTACCCTTCAAAACTGGAACGCAGTAATACTCCATTACTGCTTAAGTTCAGAAATGGCTATGGTGACAGCACTTCCATGGACGAACTCTTTCTTAAGGACCTCTATACTGCTACTGATCTCTTTAACCTCTTTTATTTTAAATCACATCGTAGCGTTGTAAAATACGTAAATGTAATCTACTTCCTTATGGAATATCCTAAATATGTACTATAAATAAATTGACAGAAATTAACCCTGGACCAATATAAGATCATTGCCCTCGGCAATAATTAAAAACCTGTCTTGTCTTTATAAAACAAAAACCGACCTGAATTCGTGGAATTACGCCTATTTGCCAACTTTTATTGAAATCGGTTACCGGAAAGCGCGCGAAACCGGAATCATCCCCTAGTTTGCCACCCTTAGAGATGGAATATTTTCTTCTAATTTAAGTGAGACCAATACTGAGGCACCCCCTGTCCAACAAAAAAGAATATCAAAAGCGGTTCACGAATGATCACGGAACGTACATAAAAAAATACAGTCTAATTGAGAACCTCTTCATTTTATTGTAGTCGGTTAAAAATAAATACCCGTGTAGTATAAACTCAGCAATATATTAATGTTTACATTCTAACTTGCAGCCTTGAAAGTAAACTAAAACTAACGACTGGTTATATTTCTAGGAAATTTATTGAGGCATTTCACGTCATAATTAAAATTGGATTAGGTTGTTTTCGGTAAGTAATTATTTATGTTTATACGATTTGCCTTCTTGATTCGATATCGATTACGCTGAAATTTAAAAGTGCTTGGAACAATCGCATTGACTTTCTGTTATACGCTATTTATAAGTTTTAATTTGAACTAGTTACATAAAGTTGTTTCAAAACTACATGTGCACGCCTTTCGGTGATTGAAGAGCGAATCAAATATTGACGAAATTATTTATAAGTCAATTGTTGTCACAGATCATTTTTTTTCTTACAAACGCAGAGAAGTGGTGGCATGGTAACCGTTTACAAAGTGGCGTAGCGGTACCTTTGAGCAAACTGAATAGTTTTTCACAACCAATAGGAAATAAAACTGATTCATCGGTCAAAATCTTTATGTCATAGATAAGCAAATCACACTTCAAATCGTCATGTTCATTAAACTCTACTACTCATTCGTAGCACAGATTCCCCTGAGAAGAATGAGCAAGAGACTCTAGGGGTTGTTCTTTGTAAATCAACAATACATTTATCATGCAATGATTATTTCAGACATCGTAGATCGATACGTGTGGCGCACTATAAGTTTCCGGAATTAACAAGAAAACATTGCTATAAATGGTCAGAAATGAATTCATTGTTTCTCAAAATACTCTCCGTTAGCGTTAATACACTTTTTCATACGAATGAACCAATTTTGAAAACATTTCTGCCCCTCCTCCGAGACAATTTCTGAAACATATTTTTCATACTCTTCGACAGCCTCTTCAGGTGATGAAAATCGTTGACAGCGTAACTGGTTCTTAATTTTTGGAAACAAATAAAAGTCACAAGGTGCCAGGTCGGGACTGTACGCAGGATGGCTCATAAGGTCAACGTTGTTCACCTTCAAAAACTCATTTGTCTGCCGTGTGAGAACTGGCATTATCGTGGTGCAAGACGATACGGCGTTTACGGTTATTTTTACGGAGTTTGTCAATAACTTCCGGCAAACAAATGGTCGTGTACCAATCACTATTCACTGTACAACGATTCTCCAAAGCAACAGTAGCCACGTGTCCAGTTTTATTTAAAAAAAAAAGCAATCATCCGCTTAGAGGCACTTTGCACGCGCGCTTTGCTTGGTTTCGGCTCATCTCGAAAGACCCATACGCTCGATTGTTGCTTTGTTTTGGGATCGTAACTATAAATCCATGTTTCGTCACCTGTTACTATGTCCCACACCAAATTTGACGTCCCTTCGTTGAATCTGGTAAGCATGGCATTGCACCAAGTGACGCGACACGTTTTTTGAGCCTCAGTCAAATTGTGTGGGATCCACCGAGAGCACAGCTTTTTCACACCCAAATGTTTATATAGTATTGATTGTATTTGACTCATGTTTATGCCTAAAGATGCCCGAATCTCATGGTATGTCACATGCCTGTCTGTTTTGATCATACGGCGCACAGCATCGATGTTTTTGTTATTCACAGCAGTGGACGGCGACCATCACGAAATTCGTCACTGAGATTCACACGACCGCGTTTGAATTCTGCAAACCAGCTATAAATAGTCGTTTTGCATGGGGCTTCATCGCCAAAAGCAGTTTGAAGCCAAGTGAAGCTCCGCTGAGTTGTTAATTTACACTTAAAGTCGTAGAAAATCATACTACGAAAATTTTCACGGGTTAAATCCATGGTGATGTAGACAGCCAATTTCTAAAATGACGCCACAATGCAAAAACAAGTGACAGTCAGATAAAACAAACTGTATTCTACAGCCGAAGATCCATTTTCAAATGTTGTAATTACTTTTTAAATGTTGTTTATGTAAGTGGCCAGTTGTTAGAGGTAATGAAACCTCATTTGAGAATACCTGCGTGTATGTGGAGTCGGGTAAAAAAAAAGGAAATACTTTGACTCCTATCAATTTCAAAATGTGGAAC